AATACAGTAGAAGCCGGACTTACTTGACTTCTAACTGCAACAAAAAAACGTAACACACCATTCTGGTGTCTGATATCTTCACCATCCCCGTGAATGTAGCTGTAACAAAACACTTCCAAACGCAAGGGTTCATGCGATCGACTGGGTGTCTGGCTGACGGGTGCAAACCAAAAACAGTTGCCACGGAATTCAGTTGTTGGGAATTTCTCCCTGCATTCTCTTCCTAAGGCGGAAGACTAACCGTAGATGCATAAAACCGGTAACAAGCAGAATGTAGCAGGAATTACATTTGACCTGCAAGAACTGGGTGCCCATGGCTCTCCACAAGCCCTGTGGGAGACAAGTAAACTGAAAGAGCAAGATACAAACTACAGGGTGGTGATTAAACCACGAAGTTGGGAAGGTTTCTTTATAATCTAAAGCAGGCCTGTCTACGCCGTTTTGTACGGTGAACAGTTTCAGCACCCACCCCCTGTCTCAACATAACTGTCAGATGGCGCTATTTTCTTCTAATCAGATAGACCAATCACATGTGAGGCGCAGCGGCATCCTTCGGGATCAGAGCTCACGCAAGGCAGGCCTGTCAAGTGCGGTTGCCACAGCTTGCAATCGGGAAATTTCAATTCTACGACAGAACTTTGTGGAAAACGTTACCGTGCCGTAGTACTCGGCACGGTCCAGCCTGACCTTCGACCTCACCGGCATTGATCTGGCGCTGCTACCGGCCGCGGACTATCCAAGTCAGGGGTCAACTAGCGAACGCACAAAGACGCAGCGAAGAGAGGATGAGGGGCCCTCTCCCACCCACATCCCTCAGGCCCACGTTTTTTAGCACCATAGGTGGCTCCCGACAATAAAGAGAAGCATGGTGATTTCTCGCTGAGCCCCCCCCCCCCCCCCCTCTCCCTTATTTAGATTATCCTGGACGTTCCACTGCGAGTGAGTACAGCAGCTTGAGCCCCCGCATTGACATGGGTCGGGCCACGTGGGAGCTCTCCGGAATAGGTCAGGAGCTCTCCAGGATAGGTCAGGAGCTCTCCAGGAGAGGTCAGGAGCTCTCCAGCCACATTGCTGTGAGTTCGCCGGGAACTGACACCCAATGAGATATGGAGACTGACAGGTTGTGATTTTGGCCACGTTTTCATTCCTTTCCGTGATCATTCGCGCCTTTTCACCTGAGATCGGACGCTTTATCCCTCCTGTCTGGTCGGTGTCGACTATACTAGATTTTAACAGGCGCCACTGCAACGGTTGTTGGCGATGCACTAGCAATGCTTTGGTGGCGTAACAGCCTTCCTGGTGCTAAGTTTGCCGTTTCGGTTTGCTGATTCGGCTGGAGATCAGGGTGCGTATTTTGACAAGGGGACATTATGGTTGTCCAAATCGATTTTGCCCGTTTCGGTCGATCCGCAGCTCCGGCGTCGGGACAGGACTTCGTTGCCGCGCCTGGCCAGGACTTTGGTATCGGGTCGAGACAGGACCTCGGTGTCGGGTTGGGCCGGGTCTTCGTTGCCTGGTCGGGCCAGAACCTTGGTGTTGGGCCGGGCCAGAACTTTGGTGCCGGGCCGGGACAGGACTTTAATGTGGGACCGGACCAGGACTTTGGTGCTGACCCAGGCCGGGACTTTGGTGCCGGGCCGGGCCAGGACTTTGGTGCCGGGCCGGGGCAGGACTCTAATGCGGGGCCGGACCAGGAATTTGGTGCCAACCCAGGCCAGGACTTTGATTCTGGTCGGGCCGCAGCTCTGGCGCCGGGCCGGGGGCGGAGGCACGTGTGGCCCCCCGCCGCCGGGGCACAGGTGCCGGCACAGCTGGCGCCAGGGCCGGCCGGGCCGACCGCAGGCAGCCGGCCCTCCCGGCCCCGCAGGCCGGAGCCAGCCACGGTCACGGCCAGACAAAGGCGCGGCGCCTGACGCTGCCGGGCTGCCGGTGCTGCAGCGGCCGCGGCGCCGGTGGCCGACGCCGCCCGGCCGGACACACACACGGATGGACGCGGTCCCGGGCGGGACGGAGAAACGGCGTTGCGACGTGCCAGGAGACAGATCGCAAACACAACAACACAACACAACACAACACAACACAACACAACACAGTGGGTTTCAGGCTGATCACACAGCCACATAGAGGTCAAAAATGTATTGGGAGGAGCATGAAACCTGGTCAATTCAGAAGTTTCAAAAACTGCTAGGCTAGGAAACAATTCTCCCATCTGTACAGATCATACTCACACAATGTATATGCTGGCCAGTGCACAAAATGATGGGGACTTTTCTTTAAACCTGGATGTAATCTTCACAGTAGTGTGCAATGCTGATGGTTGCCACTAAAGCAAACAAATTTGGACATTTCTTCTTACAGGCATTTGAGAGCAAAAGGCATAACAAAGATACTAGGATTGTATATCTATATAGATTGGAATGTAGAAATGTAGATAATGTGGATGAAGTGCTGGCAAGCACAGCAGTTATCAGAGAATCTGTGCTTTATAGTTCCAGCTAGCAATTGCAAAAGTGCCAAGTTTGTAGGCTTAGGTTTGTTGCATCAAGAATGCTTTTGGCTGATGACAATTATTTTGAAGCTTATAAGTTTTTTCAGAGTTGTACCATACATGTATCTCCCTCCCCAGTTTCCAGACACACACCAGTGAACATATCCTGATAGGCTAACCTTAAATGCACAAAAAAGAAACCAACATGCAGTTTTCTGTTCAAATTGGAAATGCAGGCGATGGCCAAGCTCCATCCCAGAAATATAAAATGCTAACTATAGAGCACCCATTGCTTAGTTCAAGAGGATAATCAAAGTTGTTAGTCTTGAGGTAAACAATTTCTTGTGAAAGGCAGTAATTATCAATCCAAAAAATTGAATGTCAATCAAGTCTTATGTTTTGCCAACAGGATGTAAAAACATGTTTTTGCACAGTGTAATGCACTTAGCACATGTATCAAAAACCATGATTTTCATATACTATACCAATTAAAGCAAAATGCATGTAAATGCAATGCATGCAATGCATCTCTGGTGACTTGGGTGCTAAGGTTGTTCACACAAAAGTTTGTCTTAATATACTTACACTGAATCCACCTTACAGTTATTCAGGCAATGGCATTAATCCTTAAGCTCAACATGGTAAACTACATAAAGGAGGATCACAGATTGTTAACATGACTGCTTGATGAATATCTATAAAATGACCAATACTGGCATTCATGAAGCACACTTAATCATGTCCTGATGACTCACATCTGTTTCTGATGACCTGTCTGCTGCTAAATAAATAATCATATAAATGGTATACACCATGTTTTTTCTTGCATTTTACAAAAATGTCTTGTTAAAACTGGGTAGAGGGGCTAGAGCCCATCCAACTGAAGAGGAAACTACACCCCTGGTCCTAACCTTATACATATATATGTGTATATATATATATATAGTTGTTTATATATATATATATATATATATATATATATATATATAGTTATTTGCATTGACAGTTTTATTCTGAGAGGTGTGAGTCAATCAAGCCTGATGGAAAGTGATTCTTGAAATGTTGCGTACCAGCTGTGTGGTTCCCCAGGTTATTTGGTGACAACTTCCAGATTGAAATTTCATGCAATGCATGGTAATATATATATGAGAATATGTGACTCATGATAAGTAGTGCTGCAATATACCAGCCAGAGTAGTATCTTTCTCACCTAAGGGAGAGATGCCAGGTATATATATATAGATATATATATATATATATATATATATATATATATATATATATATATATATATAGTATATATATATACATTATATATATATATATATATACACTATATATATATGTGTGTGTGTGTGTGTGTGTCAGTCAGAAGAGGGCTGGCTAGACATTACACTGCCCTGGCATCTCTCCCTTAGGTGAGAAAGATACTGCTCTGGCTGGTATATTGCAGCACTACTTATCATGAGTCACATATTCTCATATATATATTACCATGCGTTGCATGAAATTTCAATCTGGAAGTTGTCACCAAATAACCTGGGGAACCACACAGCTGGTACACAACATTTCAAGAATCACTTTCCATCAGGCTTGATTGACTCACACCTCTCAGAATAAAACTGTCAATGCAAACAACTTTATATCTGCTCTGCAGATTCAAATGGTACAGCATGTGTGAGCATCAACTTAGAAGGGGAGCACATACTTCTAAAGCTAGAAGCTTTCAAAATTGCAAGCTATCAATCTTCAACAGTCTTTGGCAATCATAAACTAGCTAGTGCATGGTATTTACTGTCAACTACTGCTGAAGATTTCCTTCAATAGCAGTGGTACACACAATGCAGATATACCTAGGCTATTTTGTTCATACTAAACGCTGCAATTTAAACACTTTTTCTCGCTTCCCAAGAGCTAGACCCGACTTTCAGATACTGCCTACCTCTCAATGCAGGTGCGCGTTGAAGCATGCTTTGTCGACAAATACAAACGCTTGGCTACTGTTATTTGGATAAAACACAACCCACTCAAGTCTGTCGCGAATTACACAGGGTATCACATCATAGATTACCCGAGATTCAATGCGCACGTTACAGCATAACCAACGCGGAACCCACTGCACAGGACGCGACTAAACAGCGCGCAAGTCTCGTGTCTTTTGTTTATACTGGAAGGGGCAGCACAGTTGATGCCGGTAACAAGATACCATATGGTCCAAGAAGGCGAAGAAATTCACGTTTTTTGACAAAACTGCAAAGGAAGTTTATTGCTTGCGTTTCAATGAACCTATTCAGTATTGATAAAAAGCTAAAAATTGAACAAATCGTATAAAGATTTTATTTTTTGTTAAACTCAAGCTTGATGGATTGCAGCTTAAGTCGTGTTCAGTGAAAACTTTTCCTTTAATTTGGCTTGCTTCTTTGCCCTCAGCATATTTTTTGGCCACCTCAACTCAGCGCAGCAGTGACGAAAGGGTATGTATTGCCTGGCATATCTGCTGAAAGTGAAAGGACGAATATGACTGAGAAGTTGGCGGCTTGTCTATGAGAAGACAGCGGTGATCACCAAACTGTAGGTTGGTTTTTGAAGTATTTATGTACGCATTGTTTCAGACTGACTCCATCGTTTACGTAACCCTGTTCGTAACTGGTGAAACTGTGTTTACTATTACGGTGTGATGAACCTCCAGCACAAGGTATAGCCTGAAATTGTGTATTTTGCATGAAAATTGTGGGACAGCAGATTACGCAATGCTTGACTCCTAAATTACATGCTTACTGGAACATGTCTGGCTTAGCAGCAACATGACAGCAGAAATTTAAGCACAGCCCAGCATGCATATGCTAAAGAAGATTCCAGTACTTGGGGTTGGGCACACACTGGCACCATTTTCAGTGCATGGAGAGCCAATGTTGCTAGGAATTATGATGCTGAGATGAAGGTTTACACTATTAACTTCCCTCACATGCCTGAAAAGAGTTGCAATGGGCTGAGGCAATTCAAAGATTCAGCTTGACATGTCCTGGTCTGAGTTTGGTGCATATGAGCATAGGGCTTAGTGTGGCAATATAGGTGTCTGGTGCTGTGGATATATTTTGTGCTGGCTGGACAAAGTGTGTGGATGTCGGGTTGCATGCCCACTGTCCATCAAAAAGCTCCTGTAGTCCACAGATAAATGCAGAACATAGGCTACTTGAATCACCTTGACTGATCAAAATTTGGTGATGCTAATGGCTGTGGGAAGTATCTATTCATCACTCTGGCATAATAGATCACTCAAATACAACTTTGAGAGTCACATAATATAGGTTGTTTAATTAGTGCTAGATCAATCTTATAGATTTGAACTAAAAATAGCAAGTTAGCTTGACAGCATTGTTTTATCAGTCTTTGCAGTCATCATTGATCTCAGGAATTACTTCTTATGCATATGGGGAACTAGCTGCATGGCTTCTGGCACATTAGTTTACCAGTTCTTTGGGCATTAGGTCTTTAGGTCATAACTCTGGCCTGTGCCCTGCAGTGAATATCATGGCCTCAGGTCACAAATGTGGTATGGAAGCTGGCAGCCATTGGATGACATGATAGTTGTCATAACCATTGCTGATCTCAGAAATTGCTGATTTGATTTATCAATATCCTTACCATAAGGCTGGGTTTAGGTTTCCTTTGGCATTTGTGTACATGATAAACTAAGGTCCTCTCAGTGACTGTTATGTATTTCTATGGGATGATATTTCTGGAGTCTAATTGACTGATACATGAGTCCAATTGTTTACCATCAATGACTGACCTTATGCAGCCAGTCATTTCTGGCTAATAGGGAACTAGTGAAGAGGGTAGGGTTAAAACTAGGGTGGTCTTGCTATTGCATTAGGTGGCATATGAAGATGTCAAAAATTAATGCTGGTCTGCACTTATTCCTAGTGTGGCACAGTTGTTGTCTTAGCAAAAGGCTTTGCTTATTGATGTGTCAAATACCAAGACAAGCAAAGCATTTGATCGAGGTTTGATGGCGTATGATATTTTAAAGTACCCACCACAATGGCCTGTAGTTGTAGCTGGTGCATTTCATGGCATGCATTTCCCAGGTTTCCATTGCTGCCCACTTGTCAGCAATGTCAGCTCCAGTGGTGCTGCTGCGCCACCTGGCGGCCGCAGCTGAGCCGTTCTGCCGGGCGCCGGCGGCGGGTCTGGGCCGACCGTTCGGGACCGGCGGTCTCGGCCGGCTGTTCTGCGCGGCCGCTGGTCGGCCGGCGGATGCCGCCACGCCGCTGGCCCGCCAGCTGGCGGCCCGGCTGCGCGCTGTCGGCCCGATGACCGTGGCCGAGTACATGAGCGAGGTGCTGGTGCACCCGCTGCAAGGCTACTACAGCGCGCGCGCCGACATCGGGGCGCACGGCGACTTCGTCACGGCGCCGGAGGTGGCCGGCATGTACGGTGAGGTGAGCGGTATGTGCAGCCGCACCAGACCACGACACCGGTCTCTCCGCGCGTGCGGGGACACGGAGCTCATGGGCAGTCACTGAGCTATAGTCGGGTATGTCTGGAGCGTGAGCGTATGGATCAACATAAGATCCATACGCCCGCGCTCCAGACACTGGATGCTAGATGCGTGAAACGGTGTGACAGTGGGCTATCCAAACGCCAATTTTCTTCCGCGAAACTGTTGAATACGCTTTGCATGCGTCATTCCCGTTTACAAGCCGAGCGATTCGTGATCGCTTGGGCAAATGTTATCTCCGCTCTGCGCCCGCGGCCGGTGCTGCTTTTGACCTGTCGCGCCGTCATGTGTGCAGATGCTGGGCGTGTGGCTGGTGAACGAGTGGCAGAAGCTGGGCGCACCGCAGCCGCTGCAGCTGGTGGAGCTCGGGCCCGGCCGGGGCACGCTCATGTCGGACATACTCCAGGTGACCGCAACACACCCCGCTCCGGGTGACGGCAACACACTCCACCCCGGGTGACCGCAACACACCCTGCTCCGGGTGATCGCAACACACCCCGCTCCGGGTGACGGCAACACACTCCACCCCGGGTGACCGCAATACACCCCGCTCCGGGTGATCGCAACACACCCCGCTCCGGGTGACGGCAACACATTCCACCCCGGGTGAGTGCAGCACATCCCGCTCCGGGTGGCGGCAACACATTCCACCCCGGGTGAGTGCAGCACATCCCGCTCTGGGTGACCGCAGTACACATTCCGGGTGACCGCGACACATCCCTCCGGCGTTGGGTGGGGGTAGGGACGTCGGAGTGGTTTTCATCTGTGGGTTACAGTGCTGAACATCGTGCATGTATGGTAGCAGCATGATCAGGCCGACACTGAGGTGGGATGGCGGATGAACGCCGCCATGTTCTCTGCTCCCGGAGAACATGGCGGCTGCCAGTGCGGCGTCCATGTCGGCGCCGGTTCGTCGCTGACCTAACTCTTGCTCAGGTGGTGGACCGGCTGGCCGGGGACGTGCAACTATCTGTGCACCTGGTCGAGGTGAGCAGGCCCCTGGCCCACGTCCAGGCGAGCACCCTCGGGGTCCGCATGACGTCAGCCTCGGACGGCCTATCAGACTCCGGCAGCGGGACGGCCTCGTCGCGGCGAGACCAGTCAGAACCCGGTGGACGGGCAGCGTCATCGTCTGCTGGCCACTCAGAGTCCGGCGGACGGACGTCACAGTCAGGTGACCAATCAGCGCCCCCGGAGCAAATGACGTTACCGTCGGGCGACGAATCAGACGCGGAGACGTGTGACGTGCTGCGCGGCACGACGGCACGTGGCCGAGACGTGCTGTGGCACACCCGGCTGCAGGATGTGCCCGAGGCGTTCTCCCTGGTCGTGGCCAACGAGTTCTTCGATGCGCTGCCAGTTCACCAGTTCAGGGTGAGAGACGCCCTGCTGGGCAGCGTCAGCTCCGGCTGTTCCACGGCTGTGATGGCTGTCCGAGCGGTCAGTGATAGCATGACTGTCTGGTGTTTCAAACGTTTGTAGTGTAACAGCATTCAGTATTGGACCGTTCGAGCTTTGGGCACTTGCGTAGGGAAGCAGCCGATCGTGTAACGTAGCAGAACCCTGACTTTCTCCTTCGACGTGTGTCACGTGCTGTGATCGGGGCCGGCGTCGTGCGGCAGGAGTTGCGCGCGCAGCTGCGGTGCTCTGGCCCGTGACAGTGACCCGTGACCCAATCCGTGACCATCCGCAGCGTACCGACGCCGGCTGGCGGGAGGTGCTGGTCGACCTGGCCGAGGACGAGCCGCACCGGCTGCGGTTCGTGCTGGCGCGTGGCAGGACGCCCGCCTGCCTGTACATCGACGTGAGTGAGGCGGCGCACTCCGGTCAGGCGCGGGGCGCCGGCGCCGGCGTCCGGCCGGCTCGGAGCCAGCCTGTGCACCGCTCCCATTTGTGACGTTCGCAGGCTGTCAACGGCATTGGAACCGAGCTTCTAGGCGGGCTGCGTCTTACAGTGCTGCTCCCTTGTCTGACGCCGCATCGTATCGTCAACCGTGTTTCGTCCTGCGGTTGAAATGCTGTTCTGCAGTAGGGTTACAACTTCTGCTTGTAGCTGTACTTCTCGGCCCTAGTCAGCCCCATCCGTGATGACCCGGATTCTCAGCGGCCGGCCCCCTGACCCGACTTGACCTGCAGGGGGATGCGGCCGCGAGTCGGGACGAGCTGTCCCGGTGCTGATCTGGCCTGACCTGTCCTGCAGGAGGAGGCGGCCGCAGGTCGGGACGAGCTGGAGGTGTGCCCCCGCGCCGGTCTGCTCACCTCCCACCTGGCCGCCCGGCTGGCTCAGGACGGCGGCGCCGCGCTCATCTGCGACTACGGCCACACCGGCGACCGGGGAGACACCCTGCGGGCGTTTCGGAAGCACAAGTGCGTGGAACCACTGCTAGCGCCGGGCAGCGCTGATATCACGTGCGATGTGGACTTCGCTGCCCTGGCGCGCGCCGCTGGCCCGGAGGTTCTCAAATTCGGCCCTGTCTCCCAGCGGCAGTTCCTTGCCGAGATGGGACTGGCGACGCGTTTGGAGGTGAGAAGGTGACAATGCGCAGCTGTGTACTGTTTATCATGTGTCCTTGTCTGCTTGTCTCACCCTATGATTTAGTTGGGGCTGTCTCAGCAATGGCAGGCTTTTGCGTTCTCCACCACGAACGTGTCATTGGTCGGTTTAAGTTATGGCATGATAACTTCTGAGTAAAGGCATTTTGAGCGAAGAGGCTGAATTTAATCAGCTAATGTTATCACCACGGACGTGTTTGGCTCAATTTTTTTAGCCAGCCAAAGAACGGCCCGTACATGCAGTATCTGATTTAGCTCATGACTCATCAACAGCCCCAATTGTCTCGATTCAGCTCAGTTCAGAATCATTGTTGTGTTGAATCATTTGGTTCATGACTCATGTCGCATGCAAAATCAAAGATTTTATTCAATTCTGGCTTGTTGCCTGTGACTGGTGAACCATATGACCCATTTGCGTATATGCTTGATTATATATATATATATATATATATATATATATATATATATATATATACCTATTAGTGAGACTCACATAGTATGTATGTAGTTGTACCATGTGATAGCCTCTGGTTCTTGGCTGAAGTTTGCAACCTTTAGATCAGCATCAACAATATTGGGCTTGCTGCTTAGAAATTACAGTAATAAACCGTGTGTTGGTTTTGCTATCATAGTTAACACCCTGAGTTTTGTTCACTGAAACACTCCGAAGTGGTCTTCTTTGTGTGGGGTTTGCTGCGTTTCACCATGTTACCATTTTAATTTGACCCATGTGGATCACTGACACGACCGTGTCAGAAATGATCCGCACACGATCAGGCTCACAAAATGCACGAGGAACGTGATTCAGCTCACGGCTCAAAGCGACATTTTCCTGACGAGCCGACTAAGCTCGCGGCTCATCCCGAAACGACTGGCTCGAGAGCCAGTTCACGCTTCAGCTCGAGTCGAACACGAGTCTTGACATCAGTGAGTGAATGGTGATGACGTGACCTGGAGTCACGCTGTGGTCCCGCGGTCACGTGACTACGAGTCAACCGACGTCATCAGCCGTTCAGGCTTCCATCCTTGTGTGTCATGTTCCTGAAAGTATATTAATGCCCTTGATTTGTATTTGCAACTCCCGCATTGCTCAGAAATTTTCACACACTTATATTTGGTGTCTCTCATCGCCGTAGCATAGTCCCTGCCACTCGTATTGCGACCCGTGGTCTGTGTGTTTAAAAAGATGAGTATTAGCGCTGAAAATGCTTTCCAATTATTTGTCTTCATATCGATGCCTTCATTTTATGCATTCAAATGAAATTCAAACCCTTAAGAGTTCGAAATGCCTGAAGTTCCGATTCACCGAATCACTAGCCTGAATGTAAACCAACCTAAACGTCAGATTAATATGCCAAATAGACGAAGAATAATAAATCAACAGAATGAACGTCAACTTTACACATACATGTAAGTGTAAGAAAGCCAGGATAGCGTAAAAGGGCTCTGATAACGTTTAATATCTGAATTAGCTAAGCCCGAAAAGCGGACAAACGACTCCATTGGCGATCAATCACGTCCTTCAGTGGCGTCGCAGATGAATGGGAGCGCTGGTGGCTGACGTCGCCCCCCGCCCCCTCCCCACCGCTGCAGACATCCCCAGCACTGCAGCCACTGAGGGGCCGCTTCCGTTGCAGCGTCTGCTGACGTCCTGTCCGGAGCGGGCCGACCAGCTGCGCGCCGCCTACAGCATGCTCACGGGCGACATGGGCGAGCGGTTCAAGATGTGGGCGCTGCTGCCGGCCACGGCGGCGCCGATCCTGCGGTGGCACCCGCCGGCTGGGTTCGCGGCAGCGGCGGCGTCCGGGCACTGCTGACCGGCGACCGGCTCCGCTGTCGGCGGCGGCCGCTGCGACGCCGGGGCGGGGTGCGACGCAGCGGAAAGTGGCGGTGGTGCGGCGCCGAACTAGTCCGCTGAGGTGTGGGCGTGGCCGTCGGGTACGGCTAGAGCGTGCATTCATGTGATCATCGCGGCGATTATGTTCATGTCATTCAAATATACTGACCTAAGGATGTTACTTAAGTTGTTAGTGCATTTTCGAGGAACGTTATGCATACGGGTAAGACAGTAGTAACAGCCTTATTCCTCGTGGAAGAATGGGTAGATAGCTGAGTTGACAGACAGCTGAGATGATATTTCTGTAACATACCTTTACCGATACGAATGTCTGATGTTCGTTTCGATGAAGGCAATATAGCCGAAATATCAACTCAGCTATCCATCATCGTGGTTCTAAGAGGAGTGTGGTAATTACTACTGTCTTATCGATCTGAGAATGGCTCAATGTGTTGCCACAGGGACTCAGGATTTGACGCCGTTCCTGAAGCATCTGCGGAGTTGCAACTACGTTTGCATATCGAGATGTTTGTGTTCATCCTTTCCTCCTCGGGCTCGTCAGCTGCGTACCGCTCATGGTGACCTCCACCCAACGGGACGGCGAGGCGGCGTGGCCGGGGCGGCACGCGGGTCACCGTCACCTACACAGCCGGCAATCAGCGCCTGCATCACCAGGTAACGGCAAAGGCCGTTCGTGACGCCGTAACGAGGGCCGAACCGGGATTGGCCCTTACCGAGCGGGTCCGCACGGCAGCCCAGCAGCTGCAAACGAGGCCGGTTGACGTGGTCTGGTCTGTCTGGTCTGTCTGGTCTGTCTGGTCTGGTCTGGTCTGGTCTGGTCTGGTCTGGTCTGATCTGATCTGGGCCGGTCTCCGAAGGCAATGCCGACCAGCCAGTGGCAGTGGGTCAGGTATTATCGGTACAATACCGCCACCAGACCACTGGGGGAGGGAGGGCGGGGCAGCGGGGGTGGCCCCGGCCCGCTCCTCAGCTCCACCAGCCAGTGGCAGGCGCGTCACCAACTGAGCTGCCCCAGGCATGATCGGCCTGGGAGCCGACGATGCCCCCCCCCCCCCGGCCCCCAGGCGACGGACCTGCTGTACAATGCAGTCCTGGCCGGCAAACTTCGGTCGCCAACGACCATCAAGAGACTTTCGAATCACGGACGGGGAACATATATTTCTCGTCTGGAATAGGCCGGCGAACGATTCCATCGGAGGCGTGTGGCGCCGCGCATGATAACCGCCTCCGCCTGATTCAGCCTGATTCAGTAAAGAGGGGATGATCCCAAACAGGCGACCTGCGCCATAGCCCCGGGCACGTGCCTGGCGTCCGGCGGCGGCGCTGAGTGCCGCCGACCGCTCCGGCCGGGCGGCGGCCCATCAGCACCGGCCGACGGCGCCCGATGGCGGCCGTGCCTGTAATCACGCCTGTTCGCGGAACCACTCGCGCCGCGCCGATGGCCGATGGAACCACTCGCCGCCGCCCACATCACGAGAGCGGCCTGCGCCGATGAACAGATCTAGTATATTAACACATCCCAAGGAACTAATCGGGTATGGAGACGAGTTCAGACGGGCTGGTGTTGTGAACGTTGTCCACGTGGATCATCTGGTACCCGGCGTGGTGTCCAGATCGATCGTCACATTATTGATTTAGTGTTCACATGGATCGTTTGCTTCTGGCATGGATCCAGAAAATCAGCGAACTGGCCGCTACTTCTCATAGCCAATCACAGCGCTCGGGCGGCATCACCCGTCATCAGTTCAGTGCGCTACCGAATAGCCTTTCTTCAGATCATCTTCTTGGACAGTTTGATGCTTGAATGCTTACCAATCGCCACCGGGTTTCAAACAGCTGAGCGCTGCGCCGCACTGACGTACAGGTGCGGCGGCCGCGCCGCGCGGTGACGCGCTCCGTCCTCGGCCATTTGCTGAGTGGTTTGTCATTCGGATCGAGCGCGGGCTGCCGGGAGAGAGCGAGAGCGAGAGAGCAATCACGTAAATTGCCAGCGCGTCGAACTGCGACCCGAGGCCTGGTCAGGCGGCGACCGCGGCGAGCCGCGCCGCCGCCCGGCCGCCCGCTCGCCCGTGCTTGCTCGGGCACCGTGACCCGGCGCGCCACGCCGTCGCCTGGCGCCTGTCGGCGGGGCCTGGCGCCGCGGGCTGTCAGCGCATCTGCCGACACCGGTGCCGCCGCCGACCGCTGACGCCCTGCAGGCCGGCCGCCGCCGCCCGGCTAGCGCGGTCCGTGCGGTGGCGCCGCCTCCAGCGGACTCGGCGTCTGCTGGACGGGCCGGCCGTCCGCTCTCAGGCTGTCCGTCTGACGTGGGAGAGACGGAGCGCTGGTCATAGGTACGATTGCAATCAAACTCTACTTTTGACACGCCTTTTAACCACAGGGACTATACTTGTGAAATGAAGAGTCCAGAGGGGGGGGGGGGGGGGTGGACAACGGCAGCTTAGCGCGGCTTGGAAGTGATAAAGCAGAGGGACGACACATAGTGCGTTTACAATGCCAGGGAGGGCAGGGAGCTGCACCGGGCTTGGGGACCAAAATGCAGCATCCCCAAGCTTGGGAAACAATTTGAGCATTAATACTGCATTAACACTTCAGCGTTACGCCTGCAACTCATTCATCAAGCATGTCTCCTCCAAAATGTGAGACTTGAAAATCAGTGAGATGTGAAAATGAGTGAAATCAGAGAGAAAACCGTGGGGTACACAGATAGGCGGTGATAACACAATGATGCGAGCGAAGAAATCAGCTCGTGTTCTCCTCACATACGCGTGTGTTGCATGCAGAGGGAAAGCAGGGTAAGTCCCTCGGTAACGTCGCCTGGAGGAGCCACGCTGTCCGCACACAGACTAGCTTATGAAATCAAGACAGCAATGACTGACATACGCGGAGGCGGAGCCCGAGAGGCGGGGAGTGAGGCAGTAAAGATACCTGCTACGTGTACTGAGGCGCAGCGTCGGGGTCCGGGAGGCGGGGGGGGGGGGGGGGCGGGGGGGCAGCACAGACACCTGCTACGTGTAATGAGGTGCTGCGGCGGGGCCCGGGAGGGCGAGGGGGGCAAGTACAGGTACCTGCTGCGTGTACTGAGGCGCGGGGGAGCCTGGGAGGCGGGGGACAGCACAGGTACCTGTTAAGTGTACTGAGGCGCAGCGTCGGGGCCCGAGAAGCGGGGCGGTACAGGTGCTTTTTCATGTACGTGTATTGAAGCGCGGTATTGAGGCCCGACAGGCGAGGGGCGGGTGGTACAGGTTCTTATTCATGTACGTGTATTGAGGCGCGGTATCGAGACCCGAGAGACGGGGGGCGGGTGGTACAGGTACTTATTCATGCACGTGTATTGAGGCGCGGTATGGAGGTCCAAGAGACGGGGGCGGTACAGGTACTTCTTCATGTACGTGTATTGAAGCGCGGTATCGAAGCCCGAGAGGCGAGGGACGGGTGGTACAGGTACTTATTCATGTACGTGTATTGAGGCGCGCTATCGAGACCCGAGAGGCGGGGGGCGGGCGGTACAGGTACTTATTCATGCACGAGTATTGAGGCGCGGTATCGAGGCCCAAGAGGCGGGGGCGGTACAGGTACTTTTTCATGTACGTGTACTGAGGCGCGGTATCGAGGCCCGAGAGGCGGGGGGGGGGGGGGCGGGCGGTACAGGTACCTGCTGTGTGTACTGAGGCGCGGCGGCGGGGCCCGAGAGGCGCATCTTCTCCGGATCCGAGGTGGTCTCGTCCGACTGGTGCAGGAACAGGATGCCGAAGTTCAGCTGCGGGATCTCGGCGAACACCGTCAGCAGCCACATCATCATCACCAGGCCGACCAGCAGGTACCCTGCCGACAGCCGGCCGGCCCGCCGGCGGTCAAAGGCCGCGCGCACGAAGCGACGGATGTGGTCGTGACACTCGGCCCTGTACGCCCCGAGGGGTTCGCCATCACGACCCGACCCGACCCGACCAACGGTAGCCAGCCTGCGTGTGGACACGACGCCAGTAGGGTGATGGGATGACGCCGGTAGAGTAGCTACAGATGATTAGTGGGAGGTTGCTAGTGCAGTCACACGGTTCCATTTCCGACGAGGTCGTTATTCACAATGAAGACATTCTGTTTCACCACGTCGCAATTCGGTAAGCAGCGACGCTTTGTGAATGCTTTAAACATGCAAAAATGGGCGCTGCCGTACAGTGGTAAAACCCCACATGTTCATTTTTGGCCATCTGATTTGTCTTTTCATGCTGAACTCGGATATTTAAACAAAAAGTTAAGGGTTTCATAGGCTTTAAACTAAAAAAGAAAGGGTTATAAGTTTGTGAAAATTTCAACTGTTGTTTTAAATAGCCGAATCCAGCACGAATCATATGACAAATCCGAATCAGATGACAAAAACGCAAAAGGGTCCAAAATTAACATAACGGGCTTATCTTTGGACGGCAGAGCGGATGCAACCTGTACACTTACAAACCTTAAAGCCAGTCATTCAACGCGTGGAGATGTCTAATGCGTGATGTACCATCACAGGGATTCTATTTCAGCTACCGTTATGACTCGGATGATGCAAACAGGTCATATTAGTGTCCCAGGAGTCGTGGTCGGCCACAGCTAATGGCGGGTGGCCATGCCGACTGTACAACGCCGGCGCTGAATACCGCACCAAAGGTCAACTTGGGCTATATAAAGCTAACTGCACAAGTAAGGTATGAGGGAGCTTGGTTTAGAGTTACCTTAGTGTTCAGTCACATCGTTGGTGTTGCGTTGCGTTATTTTACTCATCGTCACTGCAAGAGAAGTTGGCATGCCATCGGGAAATACATCTTTCTCCAAGCGGCAACATATTTTGACTGCAGTACGCATTGAGGGCAAGTTTCAATCGATTCTGTCACATTTTCTATTTCTGGCCAAGAACCGAAGAGCCCACAAAACACTGGTAGTTCTTAACATCAGAAAAGAACCATCTAACTCCTTACAAGTAGAATTACATTAGGCTTCTACTTATTCTTCGGGATCAATACTAGCCCGACACTTGTCCGAGCCATATGTTCCCGCATGTGCCAAAAACACCTGGGGTTCGATGGGAGCGAGGTAATTTCGGACGCTTTTTACGTATCTGGCTGCTCTAGAGCGGTGGGTGACCCCGCACATGGCTACGGCGGTTGAGGCATCCTAAACACGCCGGGCACCGGGTGACCCGGGAGAGAGCCGGCTGACGTAACAAATGCAATGATTAAGTGACGCCAACACTGTAGTATGTGAGGGACTGTCCTCCGTTGCATGTCTTTTCTTCTAAAAAAAAAAAACATGGACCCAGGAAAGAGATAAGTCATACATTTTGATATGACATAAAAATGGTCTATTGTTCTTCAGGGATGGCTTTTTGACCACAGCTACTACTGAACATGTATCGATCTGAAGACTACTGAGCCACCGCCTAAGGAATGCCAGACAGATAAGCAGCTGCGTTTGCTGGCAGATTTGGCCGACATCATGTGCATTGTCGAGCTTCAACGTGGCCGCCCCGCGCCAGCCTGACTCCCGTATCCACCCGTCCGCTTAGCGGTGGATACCGGCCGGACACGCGCGTCCCCTGAGACGAACAGAAGCCCACGTAATCGATACACAGTATCCAGATGACATACGCTTTGCCAAATGAGTTACGGGAACAGCTTCACGTCGCGACCAAACAGCATGAATACTCGAAAGGCCTGGTAAGGCAATCTCGGGGGCCTCTCTCGGAACGAGCCTGAAATAAAGGCCGATACATCGAGTGGCGGGTGCGACCCGGCTCAAGAGTTGTTTGGCCGGCGGTGAGATTGGCTTGAGCTGCTGTAGCGCGGACGTGTCGCCCCCGCCTCGCACCGCAGCTTGGCGACAGTGGGAGCGCCGCGGGTCGATATGCGCCAGCACCTCCCACACAGGTGCAGGAGGCAACGGCAACGCCCAAGAAACCGTTCCAGAAACGTTCCACACAGCGTCCCTGAGACGTGGACTGCCAAATTGCCATTGGTCATGCTCGAGCCAATTTTTCACATGCACTACTTTAGGGTTAACACGCGCCCGCGTGGCCGGTTCAATACCCTACGCTCGGGTGGGGGTTAATTTGAAACCCCTCAGATCTTAGGAACTAAGAAGGCTAGAGACACCACATTCACAGAATTTGTTGACCTATACGTGAGCTCACTTAGGTCAAAGTTTGAGGTTCCTAAGCCATGACCATCGGGTCAGATAAGGCCAAACAAGGTCAAATTACAAATTAACATCCAAAGTGCCCGTAGAACCTAGATACCTGTTCTTAAGAAAAGGTCCATGGTGATGGAAGGTCAGTGACATTGCCCGTCCTTTTGAAGGCCATGGTGACCAAAACAATACAGGACTGCTTTGAGTTATGCATTAGAATAAGCTACAAAGATCACGCTAGGCAGTATGTTCCCCAAAACAAGATGTTGACCTGGGTCATTTTAGATCATTGACCTACTGTGACATTCAAGAAGTCTATGGAAGATGTATTATGCGGTTCCTGTTATTAGTAAATCTAAAATGAGCACCAGAACCTACTCCATACAAGCCCTAGAGTAATAAAACACGCCGGTTTTGACATTGGTCTGACCTTTACACCTGACCCTAGGTGAGTGGAGTTTGTTCATCAAGTGTTGTGTTACCTGTTAGCATTCCAAAGATGTATGGCTTCGTCTAACACTCCGTTGTCGCATCAGAATGAAAGGCTCCCTAGAAATTGACTGCTGAATCCATGGCCTGACTTTGATCTACCGTAGGTCAGCGACCTTACACGGTGCATTTGAGTTTATGTTACCAAACGATCCGCTATTCAACTATCTACAGCTGTGCAAAATTTGGCGCGGCTACGCCGAGCTCTTCGGAAGCCATCGCGGAAAGACCTTTAGGGGTCAATTTGACCCTCACCCGAGCGCGTGTTAGTGTCGAAACGCTGATTTTTGATTTTCATGCAGCGGATGATTTCTTGCTCGTCTTCGTTTTGACCGCAGCGTTAGCCCCAGGGTTGAAGGTCAGCGTGCAGTCCGTCGCACCGCAGGGTATTTCGCATGCATGACGTGCCTGACATTCGCGCCCGTCTCGGGCGCTGGCAGCGCTGCGTCACACCATGCCGCCCACAGCGGTACGACCCAACAGACGCAACAGCGTCTGCAGCAAAGCTATCTGTCTGCAGTATGTGAACAAGTTTGGGGCAATATCCCCACCGGGATCGGATAAATATGGCAGCTTGTTGCCCCGCCGGGTTGACGTCACATCAGACGCGGCTACAGGGAGTCCTCATCATACCCGGCCAACCGAGGCTGTGCCGGGACGTGGACACCTGGCCCCGAGCGCAAGCTGATTTCGACCGGAGGCGGCGAGCTTGCAGAATGGTTTGCAGCCCTTTAGGACCATTGAAATGCCAAATTTGGCGTGGGACGAACAATCTGCGACAAGAAATGAGTCCTGCAATTATGTCAGACCGAAGCATAACCAAATGCAGCCAGAGGCAGAACGCATCTCGGAGCTGACACGAACAGGTGCTATCAGTACAGCGGGTTGCTCGCCCGTTTATAAGCATTTGGCAGCTGGGACTTTACTGACGAGGGGTTGACGCACAAAACGACATATCACTTTGCTGGAATACCGGCTGGCTATGTCCGCCTGGGACGAATAATTACCAGGTGCGTCAGTTAGCATTGTCCCCCGAACATGGTAAGCCAGTGACGTTATGGGGGCGCGTTAGCACGACCACTAACAGTGAAAACCTTTTTGGTGAACAAATTAAAAATCCCTCCTGGCGCCATTCTACTCAAGATTTTTTAAAGAGGCCCGGACCCACCCCGTCACGAGTGGGTGAACCGGAAGGCAGGCGTTCAAACCAAGTTACTGGAACGGACAAACACATTAACAATTTAAGGCCGCAGTCCCCAATCCCGTGGCAGTTGGTACTTCTGGAATATGCGACACCACTCATTTTTTCAGACACCCTAAGATTGTATTCACCTTTTCATCCCACTTTCAGCAGATCTGATGACAGATAACGTCGGAACGCATCTGCCACCTTCCCTTTTGCCCAGCATTGGTATTGATTCTCCATTATCCATTATAAATATTTACTGATGGTATTGATATTGGTTGATATTAATGAATGTTTGGAGGTCCTTCAAATACGCAGACATGCACTCCGCCAGTCGCGTGATGCCGCGCGTTGCCCCTGGGGAAGCCTGTTAGCTCTTGCAAGCGTTGCAGTCCCCACAGATGACGCGGTGCCGTTTTCAAGCATCGGTCGCCACGCTAATAACGTCTCAAGTTCCGGGGAGTTTTACCACGTCAAATGAAACTGTCATGAGCAGCTGTCTACTGCATCCGTAGATAATACCCTTTCCGAAGCTTCGACAATAAGCGATGATAAGCTGGGTATTAAACTTCCCTGCCCATACCGCCCTCTGATCCAATTCATGCCGCTAACGGACTGCTGATGTCCACCCCGTGGTACTGCAATCTCAGTCTGGTCCTAAGTTTGCGGGTTCCGTCTTCACAGTCTATCATGAGCTAAATTTGATTCCATTGAATAAGGCAAGAGACACGTGCCTCATCAGACATCTGCATGCACACCAACAAATGCGTGTGCAGGATTTCGTACTGAACGCACAACGTAAACTTGCCAGTGAAAAACCGCAAAATTTATTGCGTGGCATAGTAGCATCACGCATTTCTAATCTATATTTTCGAAGAAATAAATTGATCTTTTAATGATCAACGTTAAATCAGGGGCTGGCATCAATCCGCTAAACTGTTAATCCGCTTATTAACAAGACCTACGACCTACACTTTCGTTAACGTCAGACACATAAACGGAATCATTAACTTCCGTCCAAATTTCCCATTTACTTTGAAAATCAACATTCAAATGAGTTTGGAACATTAACTTTGCATAAGTGGTGGATGGATTTCTCGGGTTGAGGGATATTCGAGAGCTAAGGCCTTAGGGACAAGAGTTACAGGGAAACGATGATGAACGTAAGCACGCTTCATGTTAACGCGTATCGGGTTGCAGTGGAGGCTTCATGGTGGGGGTCGCCTCCTGTCACCTACTCGCCAAAGTCCTGAGTGTACTACTTGAGCCAATTTCATCCCCATGGCAGCATTCCATCATAAGTGATGTAAGTATAAATGGTAAGTAAAAAACACGGACCTCATAAAGTACTCTAAAATAGCAGCGCATACGATATTTAGCTTCCGGTATTGTCAACGAAGTTTCAGGCCACAGATTCTCATTCCGAGCTGTACCATAAGGAGCCAGCCACTTCCCTAATTGCATGCACTTACTTTTCCTTCATTATTGCTACTCAAACTTATGGCATCTGAATCCGGAACTCATGGATGTAAACAGTATTACCTGTTTCAGTTAGGAATATTCCGTTGGCATCTGTTTTGGCAGTGGACGGCACAATCATAACTTTTTACCGAAAAGTCTCTTTGGAGATATAACGATCCGCGTATTCCGAACGAGACGAGCGTAACAGCAACGTTAGCGAGCTGCACCGATGCCCGCACGGCGCCCAGGATACGCTGAACTGGCGACATTTGTCTGATGGGGACACCTTTAACCCATAGGTACATATCCAAACGTATTTTTGGCAACATCATCTTTCCTTCACTTATCGAACTAAAACCAGGCTGGGCCTATTCGTATCTCAGTTTTGAATTTCTCACATCACTGACGGCATGGGAGCTCCAGATGGGATACGAGCGCTACACGAATTATTCCCAGAGGTTCAGTGAAGGCCAAAAGGGCGCCAGAGTCAGTCGTCCCAATCGGAAAGTTGTCCAGGAAGTGATGGAATGAGTAGGTTAAAATAGGAGGTGAGGGTTCGGGCTCGTAGGAGTCAAATAAATTCAGACAGATTCGAATCTGACGAATCTTTAAAGCCTGAAAATGGGGATTCGAAGTCTGAAATAAAAATTCGAATCCTAAAAGCCACAGCCGAGTCCTAAAACCCGACATTTAAGCATCGAAACAAATGCATCGAAATATACTTCAGACTCAAGCCTCCTTCAAATGCGTCACATGATGCACATGTGAACCCCTGCAAGTATACCTCGCTCTAGGTATTATTTTGGCCGGGTTAGAAACGTGGCATGTACCATTGTCAGACACGCTGAGCACAGCTGGTCAGGAACAAATGAAATCATCTGTTTAGAAGTGACAAGTCGGCTGCATGCTAGTCTCCAGGTTTCCTTGGAAAAATTCCAACACATTCAAACCTTGGATTTGAATCTAACTCGGTACCCACCCACGATGGAAATCAAGTTCCAAATTGCAGCGAATCTTTAGCTCTAGTTTGTTAAAATTCCAGGGCAATAGAACGACTGCAAAATGCATGCACGCACATAACTCAACATATGTATTGCAATACGGTGATTAGACTCCTAACGATGCAATTAAGACATTCCCACCTTTTAAAGTGGTTCAAGAGAAGTATACAACAGGTACCAGAAAGCAATTTAAAATGTTAGCAGATAAACGGATTAGGTTTTACCTACGTCAACTTCTTTAATATTTTACTGAATTCAATGTAACTTAATCAACCTGCCCAGTCAACGGGTTTTTAAACGGAAGTTGAAGCGGATCTTAAATTTGGGGTTAACTTTGCCGACCTCTGTATCTAAGACGTGCATGAAAATGCTTATGAAGCACGCGAACTGTCCTCAACCCCCCCCCCCCCTTCCTGCTGAATACCTCACCGCGTACGAATAGAATACATCCTCCCAATAACCCCCAAACACATGCAATGCCTGTTGCCGGCCTGTCGCTGCGCAATAGCGACGTCGGCGGTCACGCAAATAGAAGCCCGTCAAAAACGCCGGTGATCGGCCGGTGGGGCAGCCACGTTCCTCGAAAGCTGACGTCAAGACGAGCTCTGCCCACGACCACGCCTGCCCAGCTTTCGCGGCCTGCTGATTTGTATGGTTCAGGAGATGGGCAGCTTGCGCAGAGGCTTATAGGTCTGCTTCTCACGTTATCCCTATCTGCAGGAACCCGCCTGTTGTGAGTTTTGTATGAGACCTGTGGTGATGCGTGGGAGGAATTGGCTTTCAAACAAGGCTTGATCGTCCGTCTTTCTGGGATATTGATATGGTCCTGAGCCCGCGGTAGTGGCTAGCGGGGCTCGTGTCACATGTGTCTGCAAACCCACCCCTGGCGAACTTCTCGACCGCGGCCCGTAAGTCTGTAGCCCACTCGTGGAGGCTAACATGAACAATAGTCTGCAGACATGCAGCTCACCCGTGAAGACCAACACGCGGCGAGGGCTGCTACTCGTGCTTTTTATGACGTTTACCCATTTACCCATGACTACCACCCTATAACGGTGACCAATAAGTCTACAGTTCACCTGTGGTGGCCAGCTTATACAGGGACCTGCAGGCCTCCCCATCTCACCCGTAACGACAGTATGTACGCAGCGCAGGGGCCTGGTCGGTCGCACCTCTGGCAAGAGAGGCCCGCGTCTCATCTGTGGTGGCCAGCTTGTACAGGGGCGTGCAGGCCTACCCATCTCACCCGTAACAGACAGTATGTACACAGTGCAGGGGCCTGGTCGGTCGCACCTCTGGCAGGAGAGGCCCGCGTCTCACCGGCGGTGGCCAGCTTGTACAGAGCCCGGTAGGTCAGTCCCGGCCGGTCGCCGGGGATGTAGTCGCCCAGGCCGACGGTGGTCAGCGAGATGAAGCAGTAGTAGACGGAGTCGAGGAAGGTCCAGCCCTCCTCCAGCATCCAGAAGACGGCCGCTGGCGCCAGGAAGGCGAGGCCGACCACGAGCGCGCCGACCAGCGCCAGGTGCAGCAGCCGCACCGTGAGTGGCGGGTGCGCGTGACCCAGACGGCCGTTCAGCCACTACAGACGGGGGTGAAAACGGCTTCTGATTAACCAGATATGATCGGTGACGGACGCCAGCAGACGGGGGTGAAAACAGCTTCTGAATAACCGGATATGATCGGTGACAAAAATGACACTTATGTGAACCAATTGGTGACAAAATTGCGAAAATGCAAGCAATTTTTAATAGAGCGGACGATCTACAGCTTAACATCCAAGTCAAACGAAACTCTAAGCTTAGTATTGACCTGTGCTTGTTAAGATTTGCAGAGTGAGCATGTGTAGAACATGTGTCGAAACGTTGACATTTCGCTGAATGAGCAAATTGAGTCATAAGATGCCGGCAAACACAGCAGCTTAAATCGGGATAGTTTTTGGCAGGTGCCAGAAATATACTACAAACTCTACTATATAAGAGCTGACGCCACAGATCAGCGGTGACACAGCGTTTTCCCAGTGCACCTCAGAGCAGTGTTTTTTCACAGATTTTTCAGCCAAGATTCACTTCACATACTAAACAGCACAAAATACCAAGTAATTATCACGCTTATTTCTAGTCGTAAGGATCGTGGCTGACCGCAGGATCCAACGACGAACGTGACCAATTCGCTGCGCAGCTCTGTAAAGCGTCGTGCCATTTGAGACAGATGAGCTCGAGCGCTCGCCACGCGGCGGTGCGTTGAATTCAGTGCAAGGCTGTGGCCCGCTGTTAGTTGTGTTCATGTCGTGAGAAGCTGACTGGCTAGACGAGCGTAGTTTTTTCATGTAATAGCTTTTAAAAGCCCTGGTGATGATCTAGGAAGATTGCTGTTCGTGGATACCTAAGCTGTAGCTCCAAAGGTAACGGAGAACGTTGAAGCGACACATGTCAAAGATTCATCCGAGGCTTTCTGCTGCTGAGAGAAACAGCAGCCTTGACATAAGATACTGAGCATCACTGTTGTAGGCCTGTCACATTGCCCGTTGCACCTCCGGCTAAGCGTACTGATCGGTGGACAGGCGTGAGATAAAACTCTATGTTCACCATATTGCATATAAAACTGAATGAAGGTGGAGGAAGTGTCCACAAACGCATCGATTGCATCTGCTTATACCATTGTTGTATAGGGTTTGCTCTAAATGATTGGGAGCATGTTGGGAAGTGTGAGGTCTGCGCCGATAATGATTACGCGAAGATAGTGAAGGTCGCCTGCACGCTCAGCTAATCGTACGATGACGTCACAAAACCAACGGTGATATTGTTGTCAGGTGCTTATAGAACCATGTTGTCGGTAAATATAGGGCTACAGGGATGCAGTTTTGCAAATCGCTAGTGTTGAGGGATGGGGGCGGCAAGAACAAATGACTAAGTATGCCTCCAAAATGCACTCAAAACAATTTTCTACACTGTGCATTGTCTTTCCACAGTTATTTGACGCACATTCTTTTCACAGTTGAGAGCAGGGGTGTAGTTTCTCAAAATTAGTTCGGGGGCTATACCCTTAAAATGTGACATATGAAGAATAGTGCTTAAAAATGATAACTAAAAATAGAAAACTACATTCATGGTAAGGAGGCACAACTCCCTCCCCTGTCTGAAAAGGAAACCACAGGTCTCCAAGATGGTCATGTTAAGTACGCCGTTACCCGATTATTTAATTAATTAAGTCTCAACCATCATTCAGCACGCGATGGCTAGCAAATGATACTTGAGTGCAAGTGAGCTCCGAAACAAAAACGTATCATGGTTATGCCTCATTGCATTAAATGTGTCTTTGTTTAGTGATTCATTGCATTAAGAGTTATATTGCAACGATCTCTGAAAGATTCGGCTCCAGGTGACAATCTAGACGGTTCCAAATTTCGTTGGTGACAGAAAAGACACTTTTCTCACCCCTGCCAGCAGACTCTCTGTGCCAAACGATGGTAATTACGTCGATCAGAAACCACCTGGCTGCATGAATTTATATCTGCGTGTGCGTGCGCGTGCGCGTGTGTGTGCGTGTGTGTGCGTGTGCGCATGCGCGTGTGTGTGGTATGCATGTGCGTGTGTGTGTACGTATGCGTATGCGTGTGCGTGTGCGTGTGCGTGTGCGTGTGCGTGTGCGTGTGTGTGTGTGTGTGTGTGTGTGTGTGTGTGTGTGTGTGTGTGTGTGTGTGTGTGTGTGTGTGTGTGTGTGTGTGTGTGTGTAGGTGTAGGTGTAGGTATGTGTGTATGCGTGGGTGTGTATGCGTGTGTATGCGGTGGGTGTAACCTACAGTTCCCCTGGTATCTGAGTGTCATTTAAGTACCTGAGGAGTAGAACGAGCAGCCCTGAGCCCTCCACACCGAGGAGCATTGGCAGGGTGCGCTGTACGCTCGCCCGCCGGCAGCAAGCTTGTAGGCGGTGCCGTTGGCTTTCAAATCCTTTGCATTCTAGCTTTATATCATGTGGGGCGCTGCAAGTGTCGCAGCTGGGTCGTGTCCAAACGTTGTCTCGCAGAGCTGGCGCTCTGAACCTGGTGAAGCCGGTTCTGAGTCTAGTTAGCAAGACCCCCTTGTGGCGGCAATTCTGATGGCTAAATGACCATTTGGCGAGTGTCGACTTAATAAAGTGCATGCAGTGTCTGTGGTGGTGCTGTGTCCGGTGCGTTTGTTGGTAGGTTTTCAAGTGGTGGTGTAGGATAGCTTTATAATCTTCCAGAGAGAGATAGAGAGAGTTTTATGTCGAAGAACGTCCCGAGATCCAGAGCCTTCTCGGCCAGGCTAAGTCTGCAGCAGCCTTTCAGCAGCAGCTTTTAGCAGCATTTTCGTTGCGGGCTAAGTCTGCGTGCCCGGTATCCATAGGAATGAAATGTGTTGCGCGTTGGGGGACAACGCTCTCCACTGGCTTCTACGATGTTTTTGTTCGATAAGCTGTGTTGCAGATTGATTGAGGACCGCCTTGGAGTAGCAGCAGATGGTTATCTTAGTGCGGTTTTTTTTTGCCGCGAGGCAAGCTTGACGGTGGTTACAACGGACACAACCGCAGCCGTGAAAACTGATATTTTGTCTAGGAGACGATTGTAAAGCCCAGGGCCTTCTCCGTGGAGTGTCGTACCTACTGTGTGGTTGCATTTAGACACGTCCGTAAAAATGAGCTGTCTGAGTGCTTGTAGCGATCGATACTGGTTAAACATGGTTTGAACTCCTGTGTGTATTACGTTGCTTTTCTTTTCAGATAGAAGGCACGTTAATTTTGGGGTGTCGTGTCGCCAGAAGGGCTTGGTTCCAGGAGCTTGAGTTGCGTTTGGCAACGCCAGTTTGAGATCCGTGAAGGCCGTTTCAAATTGGACGATAAAGGGAGGGGGGGGGGGGGGGGCCTTTTGCGCACCGTCCGCCTGTTCGGCACTGCACCAGGTTTCAAGGATTGAGGTATCTGTGCCGCATCCGGCGCGGAAGGCGCGGTTTGCCGAGCAGCTGGTGATGAATTTTGTGAGTTGGCTAGCTGGTGTATCTTGAGCAGAAGGGCTGGTTATTGTGTGCGATGAAATGCTGCTGTATTGTCCACACATGCTGCAATTGTAGTGTCTTTTCTGCACATGCCGTTTTCTATCTCGATGACGATGCGTGTGAGGTTGTTGGTTGAGGATGTATCGTGTGTGGATCATCACTGGTAGACGTCGAGCACATTGTTACTTTCGAGGAAGTGCCCGAGCCTTGCGTTAATTATGCGCTCAGCGAGCTCGCTAGCACAGCTAGTGAGCGGAATGAGGTAATAGCCCTTTAGGCATTTGGGTGCGAATGGTCTTTGTTAGGCTTTGGCATAGGCGTAACAATGCTTTCTTTACTGGAAAGGAGTCGCTGACAAAGAGATTGTTAACGGCCGAGAGTAGATTCATTGAGGAAACGGGACAGAGGTGCTTGAGAAAAGCATGATGGATGTCGTCTGGCTCTACCGACTTGTTTTCGCGATCGCTGAGGGAGAGAGTTTGTTCTTACTTGGTAAAATGCGCGCTATAAATTTCCCGAGACAAGGAACTGAAGTCACAGCTGGCAGCAAGGCCATTCAATCTGGACTTAAGATGAGCACAAAAGGCAGGCACAGTGGCGTAGTCTGTGATAAATGCCGTCATTAGTTGCAGTGGGTCTGTGACAGGTTAGTTGCTCATGGTGAGCCGTAGAAATTGTCCCATGGGAGCACGTCTGAGGAGAAAGCGTCAGCTTCCAGATGTGTTCCCATCCACCTAAGTGATATTTAGCCTTTCCTTACCGGGTCATTCTGTCACTTCCTTCCTTTCGCATCGACCGCGGACTAAGACGTGCGTCCAGCTCGCACAACGGTGCCGCGCTACCCTGGGCCCGCCCGCTGCTGCACTCCCACCTGAAGGGCAGCTGTGGACAGCACCATCAACTTCTCGACGAAGGCGGACAGCATGACCAAGGTAAGCGGGATGCCGATCAGGGCGAACGCGATGCAGAATACTTTGCCGCCTTCGGACAGCGGGGTCACGTGACCATAGCCTGCAAAAACCGGCACACGATCAATACCCATGCTGAGTATGCTGCGGCCTGCGGTGGCATATCCAGCCAGCGGTCGGCCAAATCGGCCTACACGAGACTCCCCGCCAGCGGCTCGGTCCAACGCCCACAATACATTCATACGTGGGGCACCGACTTCAAACATATCGCCTCAACCACGAGCACAGCTTTGCATTCGATCCGCTCGAACGTGCCTCCGTTACAGAGGTCAGTTACGGCCAAGCATCACAACATTTGGGCCCGCCTGGTTTGACAACATTTGAGCAACACAACATTTGAGGACAACATAACATTTGAGCCCGTTTCAGTCCCTCTATTCCTACCTATGGTGGTGACCACGGTGGTCGAAAAGAAGAAGCTCTGGCCGAAGCTCCAGTTGGGCCCGGTGGAGACGTTGCTGGAGGCGGACACGCCGCGGTTGTTGGCGATTACCACCTCCTGAATCAGGTCTTCCAGAGCAGTCTCTGCAACCAGACGGTCTCGCCTCAGCTGACAGCCGACCCTGTCGCCTCGAGCAGGACTAGGTCGAAGACCCTACTCTGGTGCTATCTTGACGGTCATCGTGAACTTCCGCCGTGTCCGATGAACTCGGCCATGAGAAGGTCGTTCTGTGCAATTAAGTTACGGCTTTTATGTTAATGTGAGATCTATCACGCCCAACTTCATGGAAATGGCGAATGTTCTCGGCAGCCATCTGTAGAGCTAACGAACTGCCTCAACGTGATGAGATCCGCCGGCGGCGCACCCAGGACAGTGGTTTTTGGGACATGGCCACCCCGTGCAAAAGGTGGTGGCAACTGGGGCCGGGGGGCCAGTCCAATTTTGGCACTTCAAGACACCAATAGGGCTTCTAAAGCATTCAAAAACGGACCACGAGCAGTGGCGGATCCAGGATTTCGTCAAGGCGGGCACGCAACATTTTGGGGTCCCCGAGGGTTTGGGGCCCTCTCCAAAAATTATTTTATTCCGACCAATGTCTTTTTCAGATTCATATATATATATATATATATATATATATATATATATATATATATATATGTATACATATATACACATATGCTGTTTTTATACAGGAACTCACATGACTGTGCGCAGCCATAGAAACCTAAGCCTGGCTACATGCACATGCATGAAACCTGTCCACTTTCTCCACATAATGTTGAGTCCAGTCATTTGGAAGCCAAGAAGCATCAAAATCAAGCACAAACGTCAGTCCTAATCCAATTATGGTTAACCGGCTAGTCAATGTGGTCAGCTGATGGCTGGTGATTAATGTGAAATTTTTGCTTAGAGTTTCATGATCCAGTGCAAAATATTCCGCCATTCAAAATGTATTATGAACGTGATGCTTAAAGGGAACGTTTCACGTTTGAAGATATTGAAGCAATTATCAGATGAGATGACAAAAGCCCACTGACAATTACTAATGAGCGTTCAGTTGAAAAAGACACTTCTTGGCATCGAAACACTCGATTTAGCTATTGTCCCTCAAGGCGTCATTGTTTGAATGCGTCATGGAGCGATTGCATGACAATGGAACGTTTGCATGACAGCACCAGCTTGCAGTTCTTCAAGCTCCCGAGAGATGGCCCACAGTGATACTGTAGTGCTACCCCCCCCCCCCCCCCCCGCTCTCCTCTGAATGCGCCATTGGCCACAAAGCATACTACTTGAGTCCCAAGCGTAAAGACATCCTCTGAATCAAAACACAGAGCTCCTGCAGAGATCTTATCACAGCGTAATATTCAATTTACTTAAAAATTCACGGCGCAAAAGGAACCTGTCTCAAAACCGAAGACGGAGCTGGCGAGTCACCGCTTCAGTATGATACCAGCGACATCCGCCGAAGCGTGGGTCACTAGCGACATCCGCCGAAGCGTGGGTCGCTATCAGTCGCATCCGGGCGCCAGCATTCCCCCTCGTGCCAGCTAGCGGACGTTGCCGGCCCGCCAGTCGTCCGATGGCGGACTCCGGGGAGCACCGCAGCGCCCCGGCGCTGGTGCTGGTGCTCCTGAATCTGAGACTAGCTGTGGCTTTCAACGTGGACATCGTGCACCCGGTCATCTTCCAGGGTCCGGTGACGGACCCCGCTGGTCACAGACCACGCCCTGCCACATACTTCGGGTTCGCGGTGGGCCTCGCTGGCGGCGGCGACGGTGTTCCTCAGCTGCTGGTCGGAGCACCGCGAGCCAACTCCACGTTGGGCGTGAACCCACCCTCGCGCGTGCTCCAGCCAGGTGCGCTCTACAAGTGTCGGCTGCGCCGCGGCGCCCGTTGTGAGGAGGTCCTCGTCGACATCACTGGAAATGACTTTGGACCCAGCCGTCGTTACAAAGATTTGAAGGACCACGGCTGGCTCGGCGGTTCTCTGAACGTGGAGGCGAGCGGCACTGGTCGATACGCCGTCTGCGCATATCGTTGGCGCAACCAGAAGTATCACAAGTATTATCTTAGCAACGGCGTCTGCCATCACTCGGTGAATGAGTCGTTTACCAAGCTTGTACCGCTGTCCGACCCCAAAAGGCAGAGCTTCAAGCCACTGGGTCCAGGCAATAACACAAACGCTCATTACTTTTCCTACGGCCAGGCCGGCGTGTCCGTCCATTTCCCAGAGAATGGTCGTGAGCTGGTGTTGGGCGCGCCGGGCGTGATCGACTGGACCGGAACCCTGGTCCGTTACAGTGACCTGGACACGCACGGCTCGAGAGGTAGCAGCCAGCGGCGCCGCCGGGGGGTGCAGCCGCTGAGCGACCTCATCATCCCGAATCCTTCACGCACCAAAGTGCTGCAAAAATACGACTACCTGGGATACTCGGTCAGCTCCGGTAGGTTTTTCAGCAGGTCGACGGACACGTTCTACCTGACCGGTGCGCCGCGCGCCGCCGACGGCAGGGGCAAAGTGTTCCTGCTCGACTTTCCCCGCAACCACTTCGAGCCGTACGTCGTCCTGGCCGAGCGGTCCGGCGTCAGCGTTGGGGAGTACTTCGGCGCGGCCGTGCTCGCCCTGGACCTGAACGGCGACGGCCTGAGCGACCTGGCGGTCGGTGCGCCGATGTTCGGCGACGACGCCGCCCCCGAGCAGGGCCGGGTCTACGTCTTCCTCAACACGGACGACGGTTCCTTCCGGCCCGTCTCGCGGCCGCTCGTCGGCGCCGGCGCGGCGCGCGCCCGCTTCGGCACCGCGCTGGCGCCGCTCGGCGACCTCGACCGTGACGGCTTCGCCGACCTGGCCGTGGGCGCGCCGTACGAGGACGGCGGCCGCGGCGCCGTGTACGTCTTCCGTGGCGGGCCGGGCGACTTCGGCACCACGCCGGCGCAGCGCATCGCCGCTCGGGACCTCAGCCGGGCCCTGCGCGGCTTCGGCGTCAGCGTCTCGCGCGGCGAGGACGTCGACGGCAACGGCTACCCGGACGTGGCGGTGGGCTCGTACACCAGCGGCGACGCCGTGCTGCTGCGCAGCCGGCCCGTCATCGAGTTCGTGGCGTCGCTCACGGCCGAGCCCGGCAAGCTGGAGACGTCCGCCACGGAGTTTCGCGTGCAGGCCTGCCTGTCGTACCGCGGCAGCTCCGTGCCGTCCGAGGTGAACGTCACCGTTACGCTCAAGATGGAGTCGTTTCACGCCAAGGGTGCGTTCGAGATTGACAAGCAAGAGCGAAGGTCGGTGACACTTCCCTGGAGGGCAAGTAAGGAGAAGAGTGAGTGTCGTGCGTTTACCGCTAGCATTCGCTCCCAAGGTAGAACTGACTTTACCAAACCAATCCAGCTCGGCATGAGGTATGTGCTGCCATCTGGGGTCGGAACTAAACCTGGGGAAAAGGCAGTCGTCATCGACACGGACGTTTCAAAACGTGCCACCAATGGTTTCTTTGCTCGTGAACAAAAACGACAGGTGGGCTTTCCATCAGAGCTGCGGAAGATAGACGACTTTTGCAAGTCAGTCCCGTACCGGACGTCAACATGGACAACCAACAGTTGTTCATACTGAGTGTGCCATTTTCTGTCGGCTGCGGCTCGGACGCGGTGTGCAGTACTGACCTCAAATTGTTTTACAAATTCCCCGGCCTGGATGGCAAGTACGTGATCGGGTCCACCAAGACGCTGGTGCTGGAGCTGGGTCTGGAGAACAGAGCCGAGCCGGCATCGCTGCCGACGCTGTCCGTGGACGTTCCCGGCCCACTGAGCCTGGTGCGCGTCCCATCTTCCTGTCAGGAGCGCAGCCCAGGAGACGGCCGTGTCGGCCTCACGTGCAACGTCCTGCCGCATCCATTCCGCAGCGACTCCCAGTTCAAGCTCAGCCTATTGTTCGACCTGGCTGATGTCACGAGACACATCAGCAGCCTCAAGTTCAACGTGTCGGTAACATCCACCGGTGCCGAGAGGAACCCTCAAGACAACGCGGCCAACATCACGTTGGGTCTCGTCAGCCAGGCTGACATGGACATTCGAGGATCATCTGAGCCAGAGCAGGTCTTTTATGACAAGGAAGACGACAGGAAGACGGAAGAAAAAGGCAAACCAAACTACGTCCTGGTCCAGCACACGTACCAGGTCCTGAAGTACCTGCCATCGCCTGTGAGTGCAGTAGCCATCTCGTTTCTAGTCCCTGTCAACTTCAACAGCGACGGCATACAGGTCAACTTTCTGCGGATGCGTCCGCCAAAAGTGCAGGGGAACGGCCAGCCGTTTCGTTGCTTCCTGGACGACGGCAAGTTCATCCGACGCAGCCCGCTCAGCGGCGGCGCGGCGGGTCGGCCCGTGACCGAGCGCGACCTGCCGCCGAGTCGACGCCGAAGCGAGGTGGAAACGCACGCCGCCGAGCGCTCCGCCGTCCCCGACGCCTATCGGATCAACTGCACACGCGGCTCACGCGTACGCTGCGTGCGCATGACGTGCCAGTGGCTGTCCTTCCGGGAGGCGTCATCGCGCGCAACCGTCACGCTGGAGATGCGCGTTGACCTACATGTGCTGCAGCACCTGCTCGGAGGTCTGGACCGCGCCACCCTCACGACCCAGGGTTTCGTGCAGCTGTCGAAGGACGCCGGAATTGCGCCGGAGCTGAACCAGCGACCCGACCGCGCCACTGTTGACACGCCCCTGCTGCCATCGACGCTGGAGCCGCAGCCGCTCGCGGTCTGGATCATCGTGGTGTCGGTGCTGGCGGCGCTGCTGCTGCTGGCGCTGCTCTCCTGCCTTATGCATCGCGCTGGCTTCTTCCGACGGTCCAAACGCGAGCGACTACTAGAGGAGCGTCAGGACGCCGAGGTGGTGGGCGAGATCGCCGCCGGTGACAACCACGGCGCGGAAGGAGCGCAGTAGTCACCTGGCCGGCTAGGCTAATACACCGGCTGCGGCGGCGGATGTGCGGCCTTAGATAGCGACCGCAGGTTGTGTGTAGGCCCTACCGTGTAAGGGTACGTCGTGGCGTGCCCAACTGTGACGATGACCTTGACCCCATGGCGATACA